CTAAACCCTAAACCCTAAGCCAGGAGTGTCGGAGGGTCTGGTTTGAAATCCCTCTGGTTTTGAGCTCCTGAACCTGGCGCCTCAGACTGTCAGAAAGCTCGTGCGCAAACCCAAATCCTACACCCCTCAACCCTATACCCTAAACCCTAAACCCTCAACCCTAAACCCTAAACCCTAAACCCTCAACCCTCAACCCTAAAGCCCGGCTGCGTCGGCGCCCAGGATCTCCCAGGCCTCGTCGCCGAAAGTGCTCGCTCGGGCCGTGGAGTGCGGGGCGTGGATCGCCTTCGGCTACATCGGCCAGGCCAGGCCTACGGAGCCGAAGTTTCTGGTAGGAAATGGGCTTAGGCTTTAGGGTTTAGGGTTTAGGGTTGAGGGTTTAGGGTTTGGGGTTTAGGGTTTAGGCTTCCAATTTCGGAAGGTGACGGTGATGGTGGCGACCTTCTTGTTGAGGATGGTTGCAAGAATGCCCCCCCATGAACAAAAAAGCAGCGGAGACTCTAAGCCCGAACACCCAAGCAAGATTATCCTAGACTTTCGGGGAGCAAGTGCATCTGCTCGCTCATGGCGGAGTTGAAGCTATCCAATAGAAGCCGTACATCGTAGCTCCACATCCCACGTTGGGGCCGTACTTTGACTTTCTTGCAGTCTTAGTACCCTCCTATAAAAGGCGAAGGCGAAGCCTCTCCGGTGCTTCTCGAAAGGCCGTTGGGCTCATGACCACCACAGCCTCGAAGTCCTGCTTCATCTGCGCCCGAGCTGTTGTTGGTTTGTCTCAGGACCTGTCTTCGCGAAACCCTAAAGCCCTTCAGGCCGCAAGCGCCCTATCGACCGGAAGTCTTACAAAGCCAAAAGAAAAAGCCCTGACGCCCCTGGAGCCCGAAGCCCCCCAGAGATCCTGAAGCCCCTTACTGTAAGCCCTGCGAGTCCTGAACCCCCAATACCAGAATATCCGAAAGCCCTAAATGCCAAGAATCCGAAGCCCATCACCCATGCTTGAGCGCGGCCTTGTTAAGAATTAGAATGGCGGGGTGTTATAGGGTTTCTTATGCGGTCCTGCAGAGCTTCAGAAGGGTGTACAGGATTCAGTAGGGGCCTCGAGAAAGTTTGGCTGCATGCTACCGTATATCGTAATGGGAAACTCTCACTTTCCTTCAGACTTCTGTATATGTGGCGGAGGCTAGGGGCCTCATCTGTCGCAGTTGTGTAGGGTTGTGGGGGTAAGGGCTCTGCAGTTTCACGAGGGTTCATCAGTTTACACAGCGTGTGTAGGGGTTCCCAATTCCAGGAAAGCCCAATACTAATCAGATCTGAAATCATCTCATGAACGAGAGATATAGATGCGAAGTATTAGAGTCAAACATTAAGAAAAATGAGTATGCCTTCATCAAGGCGCGGATGTGGCTCCCCGGGTTCTGCAGCGTGTAAATCAGCATAATTACTGGTAAGGGCGCCACTGCTGCTGCTTGTTTTTGTTGCCTTCCTGCTATACTTAAAGGATCATGGGACTTAGTAAGTAAGGTTATAAGTCCCTTAATTGGGGTTACAAGTATAGTTGCCTTAATTATAACCCTACTTACTAAGTCCCATGATCCTTCAAGTAGTCCTTGCTGCCGTAGCAATGGTGGGGCCGGGGGAGGCAGCAGCGCAGCCACTACCTCGTTTCCCTAAGCCAATAGGGTAGTTTTCTAAATTAGGGTCCCTTATAGGGTCCTTTTTATAAGGGTGCCGTACTATATTGGGGACCTACGAGGCGACCCTAATTTAGAGAACTACCCAATAGTTGAGCACTGCGCGTCCCCATTCAATCAAGATCTGTCAGATCATCCTTGGATTATCAAAGGGAGACAAGGAACAAACTGGCCATGCAGGAAACCTGTCAAGCTCCTACCATTTGGCCGGCCATACCGTAGCTTCTGATCGGTACTGCACTTCGGTGCAAGAAACCCTTAACTAACTGCGTTTCGCGGCCCAAGGTACGCTAAACGTGGTCTTCGTGTCGCTGATTGTGGGCGCTGCTTGTTTGCAAAAGTATAGGTCTCAATAGGGTCCAACGATGAAGGGCTCCTCTGGCCATAGATCACGAAGTCCACACTGCCCTGATTAATATCCGCTTTGCTGTGCATCGGGGTAGTTCTCTAAATTAGGGTCCGTTTTGGGGTCCTGTTTATAAGGGTGCCGTACTATATTGGGGACCCCAAAACGGGCCCCAAATTTAGAAAACTACCCACTTTTTTGGGCGCTGTTGGAGTTGGGGAAGCCCCGTCTCGGGCGCTGAGATCACCAAGAGGAAGTTTGATCCCCAGACGGTGATGGCGGCTGCGCTCGCCGTCACCGGCGCCGCCTGGCAGACTTCGGCAACTTCCTTTGGCCCTGAGGTTGAGACTTGCCTGGGGGTTTGTTTTGGTTTCTGGGGGATTCTTCGCCGTTTGTAAGGGTCTGCAAGTAAAGGTTTATGATTTAAGGGTTAGGGCCCGAAGCTCAGGCCGCTCATTTCTGAACCGAGAAACTCCGGAGACCTCCAGCCTACGGACACTCTACAGCCCTTGATCAACAACGCCCCTTTCCTTGACAAGTGTTATAGTTGGACCCAACAATGGTGCTCAGACCCCTCAGAGCCCAAAGCACACATGGGGCAAGAAATCACAAGCACGCCCTCAAACCCCAAACCCTCAAAGCTTAGTGTTACTTGGGACCTAGAAAAAAAGGACAGCCTTCAAAAAAAAAACCAAACCCTTCAGCCTCAACTCGAAAGCCCTGAAAAGCCCTCGGGCTGCCAGCGCCCCTCAAGCCCTACAGAGAGGGTTTAGGGTTTAGGGTTTAGGGTCTAGGTTTTAGGGTTTCGGGGATTCAACCCAATAGCTAGACTGGTTAGAACCCTAAACCCCAAAGCCCTGTGACATTTTCATGAAACTTGGACAGCACCATACAAATCATAGCAAAGGACCCGCGCCCCCAAGCTCTTAGTCTCAGTCAGTGGGGAGCAGACCCCACAAGCCCTAGACACCTTTACAATGAACAGGACATCCCTCAAAGCAGACTTTTACCACAAAACCTAAACTCTAAACCCTAAACCCTAACCCCTAAAACCCTAAGCCCTAAACCCCTAATCGAGCCGAACACGATCTGCTGAGCTCAGGTCGGGTTTTTAGAGTTGGCGGGGTCGCAGCAGTTCGTCATCGGCACGGCAGCCCAGTGATGTACTGTGGGTTCCCAGGTGTGTAGTTGTCAAAATTATGGTCTCTTTTGGGGTACCCTAAATAATAGGTGCCGTATTAGAATAAGGACCCCAAAGGGACCATAATTTTGACAACCACCCAGGTAGCCAAAATTCACAGCTCTGGGTTTGGGGTTCCAAATGTCCGGTCTGGGGCCTGTTCGGACTTAGCTTCAGCGGTTTGAGTTTTTTAGGGTTTAGGGTTT